GATGAGGTACATATACACAATGGAATATTATTCAGCCATAAGAAGAAGGCAATTCCTATCATTTGCAACAGCATGGACAGAGCTAGAGGGTATTATGCTCAGTGAAATAAGCCAGGCAGAGAAAGACAAGTACCACATGATTTCACTCATATGTGGAGTAAAAGAACAAAGAAAAACTGAAGGAACAAAACAGCAGCAGACTCACAGAACCCAATAATGGGCTAAGAGTTATCAAAGTGAAAGGGACTGAGGAGGATGGGTGGGAAGGGAGGGATAAGGGTGGAGAAAAAGAAAGGGGGCATTACGATTAGCATGTGTAGTGGTAGGGCGGGCACAGGGAGGGCTGTACAACACAGAGAAGACAAGTAGGGATTCTGTAGCATCTTACTACGCTGATGGACAGTGACTGTAATGGGGTTTGTCGGGGGGACTTGGTGCTGGGGGGAGCCTAGTAAACACAATGTTCTTCATGTAAGTGTAGATTAATGATACCAAAATTTAAAAAAATTAAACTAAAAAAAGGTAGATATATATTTCAGAATTTCATTTATATGAAATGTCCAGAATAGCAAAATCCATAGCAACTAAAAGTACATATGTGTTCCTCAGAGGAAAGAAATACAGAGCTACTCCTGTTTAATAGGTGTGACATTTCCTTGTGGATGAGGAGAATGTTCTGGAATTCAGTAGTAGTGATAGTTATACAACCTTGTCAACATGTTACCAACAGAACTATACATTTTATTACGGTGAATTCTGTGGCATATGAATTATCTTTCGATAAATAAATAATTACCACCATTGTAAATAATACTGATGTCCAGTTGATCCAGGTGTGTTATTTGTTTTGTAGATTAACTTACAAGACATAATGTAGATACATTCAATAACAAAATGTACATTTAAGCATAAATATTTGCTCTTATAGGACTATTGTGTGACCATTACGTTTTTCAAGATTAGGTTTATTGTGTTCTAATAGACATATAATGCTAAACTTCTTACTATTAAACGTTAATTATTTTGTCTTCCTCATTAAAGTTATAAATATGCACCCAATAGAGAAGCACCTAAATATATAAAGTAGATATTAGCAAACATTAAGTGAGAAATTGACATTGAGAAATTTAATATAATAATAATATATTAAAATATAGTAATAGTATATAATATAATAATAAATATAACAACATAATATCAGTAATAATAATAGACTTAAAAAACCCACTTTTGTCAGTGGATAGATCATTGAGGCAAAAAATCAATAAGGAAACAGTGTCTTTGAATAAAACATTAGACCAAATGGACTTAACTAATATATAGAGGATATATTCCACCCGAAAACAGCAGAATACACATTGTTTTCAAGTGCCTGTGGAATGTTGTGTAATACAGATCACATGTTACGCTACAGAATGAGTCTTAGTAATTTTGAGATTGAAATCACATCAACTATTGTTTTTGACCATAACAGTGTGAAACTAGAAGTCAATTACAAGAAAAATAACTGGAAAACACACAAACATATGGAGGCTAAATAACATGCTATTAAAAAACAAATGGGTTAATAAAGGAAGGGTAAATCAAAAATACCTTGAAACAAGTGGAAATTCAAATACAACAGTTCAAAATCTTTGGGATGCATAAAAAGTACTTCAAAGGTGGAAGTTAGTAGCAATATAGGCTTATGTCAAGAAAAATGAAAAATCTCAATCTAACTTTACACCTGAAGGGACTAGAAAAAAAAAGAACAAATAAAGCCCAAAAGGAAGAATATAAGCCACATGTTCATGTCAATAGATGCCAAAAAGTATTTGACAAAATTCAGCATAGATTCATGATGAAAACTCTCAGCAAAGTGGCTATAGCGGGATCACACCTCAAAGTAAGAAAGGCCATTTATGAGAAACTCTTGGCTAATACTCTGAACAGCGAAAGGCTGGAAGGTTTTCCTTGAAAATCAGGAACAAGACAAGGATACCCACAGTTACCATTTTTATTCAACATAGTACTGGAAGTCCTATCTGTAGTAATCACACAAGAAAAAGAAAAGTCCAGATTGGCAAGGAAGAAGTAAAACTGCCACTATTTGTAGATGACATGATATTATACATAGAAAACCCAAAGAGTCCACCAAAAAACGAGTAGAACTAATAACTAATTCCATAAAGTTGCAGAATGCAAAACCAATATATAGAAATCTGTTGTGTTTATACTAAAAAGCTAGCAGAGAAAATTAAGAAAATCCTATTTACAATTGCATCAAAATGAATAAAATACCCAGGAATAAACCTAACCAAGAAGGTGAAAGACCTCTACTCTGAGAACTATAAGACTGTGTTGAAAGATATTGAAGACATCTCAAATAAATGGAAAGATATACCATGCTAATGGATTAAAACAATATTGTTAAAGTATATTGCCCAAAGTAGTCTATAAATTCAACTTGATCCCTATCAAAATACCAATGGTATTTTTTGTAGAACTAGAGCAAATCTAAAATGTGTATGGAACCACAAAAGACCCCATATAGACAAAGTAATCTTTATAAAAGAAGAATAAAGCTGGACATGTCACACTGCTTAATTTCAAATATACTACAAAGCTACAGTAATCAAAACACTATAGTGCCAGCCAAAATAAACACATAGATCAATAGAACAGAATAGAGAAGAGAATCCAGAAATAAACCCAATCTTATATGCCCAATTAATATACAACAAATTAGGCAAAAATATACAAATGGGGAGAAAATGTCTGTTCAATAACTGATGTTAGGGAAATGGGACAACTGCATGCAAAATAATGGAAGTGAACCACTGTCTTACACCATGCACAAAAACAAACTTGGAATGTATTAAAAACCTAAATGTAAGACAAGAAACCATAAAATTTCTGAAAGAAACAAATGTAATAAACTCTTGGATATCAGGGTAAGCAACTTTTTTTCTGGACATACCTTTGCAGGCAAGGGAAATAAAAGCAAAAATAAACAAGTGGGACTACATCAAACTAAACAGCTTTTGCATGGCAAAGGGAACCATCAATAAAATGAAAAGTCAGTTTACTGAATGAGAGAGTATATTCACAAATGATATATCTGACAAGGGGTTGATATCTAAAATATATAAAGAACTCATAAACTCAACACCAAAAGAAACCCCACATAATCTAGTTAAAAAATGGACAGAGTAACTGAATAGGCATTTCTCTAAAAGAAGACATGCAGAAGACCAACAGCTACATGGAGAAATGTTCATAACTAATCATCAGGGAAATGCAAATTAAGACCACAGTGACATATCATCTCACACCAGTCAGAATGGCTAATAACTAGAAATACCAAGTGTTGGCAAGAATGTGGAGAAATGGGAACCCTTTATGCAGTCTTGGTAGGAATGTAAACTAACAGTATGGAGGTTTTTCAAAAAATTGAAAATAGGAATATTATGTTCTCCAGTATCTCCACTTCTGGGTAATTATTCAGAGAAAACAAAAGCACCAATTCCAAAATATATATGCACCCCAATGTTTATAGCAGTGTTATTTAAAATAGCCAAGATACGGAAGCAACCTAAGTGTCCATCAATAGATGAATGGATAAAGAAGATGTACTTATATAGAATGGAATATTACTCAGCCCTAAAGAAGAGATCTTGCCATTTGCAACAACATGGATGGACCTAGAAGGTATAATGCTAAGTGAAGTAAGACAGGAAAGACAAATAAATACCATATGATTTCACTTATGTGTGGAATCTAAAAATCAAGACAAATGTATTAAAAAAAAACAGACTCATAAATACAGAAAACAATCTGGTGGTTGGCAGAGAGGAAGTGGGTGAAGGGATAGGTAAAATGGGTGAAGGGGATCAAAAGGAACAAATTTCCAGCTATTAAATAAATACATCACAGGGATGAAAGGTATAGCATAAAAAATATAGTCAATAATGCTGTAATAACTTTGTGTGGCAACAGATGGTAACTACACTTTTTGCGGTGAGCATTTTATAATGTATATAAATGTCAAATCACTGTTGTACACCTCAGATTAATGTAATATTATGTTAACTATACCTCAACATAATTATTTTTAAAAATAAAAACCAAAAATTTTTAAATTATTCTATCTCCTTATAAATTGAGAAAAACATCTCAGTTGAACTTAACATTCTCTTTAAAGGAGCAAGTACTATAATGACATTTTTAAAAAGAAATGGTTCACACTGATTTTCTTTTCATGACTAACTGCAACTATCTAAAATTTCTCTGGGCAGTTGAGCAGGTGTATGAGATGCAGTATGTCACTTTTTGAGCTTTTATGGCCATTTTATTTGTATAACTTTTTGTTCATATAAAAATTTTTTTCTTTCCAGGTCAAGAAAATAAAGTAGCCAAAGAAGCTGCTAACAGATGGACTGGTATGTATAATAATGGCACTGATAAACTACAGTTAAACTTCCACATTTACCGTGATATGAAATACAGAAGCTATTGTGCCTAGTTTTGTTCAAGAAAGACATTTCTGGAAATGTATGTACTAATCAAGTTTCTATATATTAGATCATTTTAGTTAAGGTTGTTTTTCAAAATCCTAGGAGTCATTTTGTAAGGTATATTTTTGTGAGACCAATGATTGGCTTTATTGTGGTGCTCTGGAACAGAACTGCAAGGTGTAGTTTAACTTGTTTATGACTTTTCCCAGAGAAGTCATTTGGTTAATCTCCTAACCTGCATATGTGTGAATGCAAGGTAAAACTTTAAGAACTTAATGGAAACCTAAAGACTTGTCTTCTTGCTAATAGCAGTAGCTAACATTTATTAAGGGCTGATTGTAAGCCAGGCATTGTGAAGAGTGTCTGTGGTGCATTCTCATTTTATCTCTATGACAATTTTGTCAGGTAGTTAGGATTATTATACCTCTTTTTATTGCACTTCGCTTTATTGCTCTTCAAATACTACATTTTTTATAATTGAAGGTTTGTAGCAACCCTGTATTAGGCTTTCAGCACCATTTTTCACAGTATTTGCTCACTTTGAGTGTGAGTACTAATTACAATTGAACATTGGCAGTCCTCACAGTATTTTAACTTTCATTATTACTGTATTTGTTACATCTATAATCAGTGATTATCATTCGCTTAAAACTCAGATGATGGATGGTTAGTATTTTTTAGCAATAAAGTATTTTTTAATTAAGATATGTATGTACATTGTCTTTTTAGACATAATGCTATTCCATACTTAATAGACTGCAGGATACAGTAAACATAACTTTTACATGTACTGGGAAACCAAAAAATTCATTTGACTCACTTTATTGCAATATTGGCATTACTGAGGTGGTCTGGAACTGAACTGCAGTATCTCCAAGATATGCTTGTACCTGCTTTCTTTCTTTCTTTCTTAATTTTTTAAATTACTAAGCTATTTTTAAAGGAGTTTTAGCTTCAGAGCAAAATCGATCTTGAAGAACAGACTGCCTATAAACCCTCTGCCCCCACATATGCACAGGCTCCCCACCATCAACATCCCACAGTGGCCTATATCTGCTTTCATGCAAATGCCTCATTAATCCACTTGCCAATACATAAATCCTCTGGTCTACACCAGAGATTTTCTAAGAAATGGAAATTAATAAAGCATTATCTATGTGTCTGTAAGTTTTGAACACAGTTAATAAATGATGGTTGTTGTGAATTATGTACAAGTATGATTAGTAATGTTAAAACCTGTCCAAAAATTACACTGGTGTTTTTACAGTTTTTAATTATAAAATAATGGTAATTGAACTGTACCATCCTGGTAGTCTGTAATGCCTTTACATGTATTATTCATCCTCATTCTGTTTCTGTGGAAGGTATGGATAAGATTGCATTGATGTAGTATCACAGAAAGCTTCAAGTGACTGCCCTTAATCAGAGGTAGTTAGTCACTGGAAGAACAGATCTGAGTCAGCTTTCCCTGATTCCATATCCAGCTTCTATTTCACAAAAAGTTTAAGAATCATTTTTCCTTGTATATTAATAAAATCAATGTGATTGGCCTTAGGTTCCTATAAAATGGCACTCTTATTTATTACAAAGTTGCGTCCTAAGTAATGCAATGCTTTTGTGATAAGTACAGTGGAGGGTAAAAACAGCAAATTAACATTTAAGAGAATAATGAAATGTGTGTCCAGTAAGGTATGAATAAATAATAAATGCAGTTATATTGTATGGGTGTGAGAAATACGAAATTTTGAGTGGTGGAGGGGAAAGCAAGTTTCAGTTAAAAATAAGACGAGAGTCACAAAGTGATTTCCCCCAGTAGTTCTCAGCAAAGCAGGTTAGCAAACAGTAGGAGCAGGCAGCCTGCCTAAGCAAGAACTTGACTTTGAAAGGAATCCATGCTGTGCTCTGCTTGCTGTGTGATTCATTGAACCTCTGTGAACCTGTTTCCTCATCTGCTCCGTGAGGATAATATCTACATCACATTTTGGGAGGATTAAATAAGACAGTTTGTAAGCCCTTTGGCACGATGTTAGACACAAAGATAAACAAGTACTCCTCTTTTCCCCTTCTCCTCTTAAAAAATCCTTTCATGTTTTCCAGTTGATCATAAATTACCAAAATTATTTAAAAAAATTTTTTTGAACAACTCTTCGCTGCACACCAAAGTTATTAACTGAGAAAGAACCTGAAACTTTTAGAATCATGCAGGAAGGAAAATATTTTTAGAACAGCAGAAAACAAATGTTAAGTATTTTATTTCCATTTGAGGTTGCTCCTTCCATATAAAAGTGTCATGAAAGATCGTGTAGTTAAAACTACTTACGTCTCAGAAAACTTGTTCAGTCTTTAAAACAAAAATCAAAAAGAAAACATCAGTAATATTTATAACTAAAGATTTTTTCTTTTTACTTTAAAAAGTCCTTAAAATGTATTTAGAATTGAGAATATTTACTGTTCAGTAATTCAATATTTCACTTTTATAGAATTAGCCATCACCTCAGGGTATAAATATAACTAGAAATATCACTTCTAAATGTTATGTGATAGTAAATACACTTAAATGTGATTTAACAAATTATATCATATAACACTATGCTTAAGAATTAAGATAGCAGAGTTCTTATGACTTTGTATGAGAGGCATTTTAGTGAGGGGGATAGATGTTGTGAGGTCCCAACAGAGACTCATGAGTATAATATTGCCCATACCATTCCTATGTTTGTCTTTACTATGTCACCATATAAATTAACAGAAATCCTACCAATCTTAAAGTTGTATCTTTAGAAACAAAAATACCCTATTTTATTACCATTTTTGAAGATTTCAACATAATAGGAAAATTATTTGATGGAAATTAACTGTCAAGATTGTGGGTAACATTGTCTTGAAGGCAGACATCCAGCAGCCCAGGACATGTCTAATCAGAGACTTTTTAAATTAGTCCATTAAGCATTGTTGTGGAGAGGCTTGTTTGTTCTTTTCTTTTGAATCTTTGAAGGCTTATAATAAAATACTTTATTGCCCTCGTGTGAACAGGAGATCCTTCCTGCAAAGACTTTATAGCCTTTCTATAATGCCTCATTTTCTTCTCTCCTCACCCAGGTTTGAAGTCCATTCCTCCAAGCCTCCTACAGTGTTGCATTATTCTCACATTTCTGGAAATCTTTCTGTGCTCTTGGAGTCTGTTCTAAAAACTATATACATAATATTTGATCTTTTATCTCTAACATACATATATATGCTACCTTTATAATGAACATGTGTTACAAATAAAAAGTAATGGTATAAAATTATCTGGGTCAGCATACTTTATCAAATGTGTAGCACTGTATGTAATGATAATGAAGTAAAGGATTAAAGCAGTAGTTGTTTAGTAATAAATTGATTTTTCTCTCTCTGCTCTTGTGTTAGCTTGAAGGCATAGGCTCTCTACATTCTGGAATACACTTAATACCTGTCTTATATGCAGCAGGCTCTCTATAAGTATTTGGCTGTGATTGATAAGCACATGTAGGTTATAAAGAGACCAGTAAAACTAAAGTAATTCTGGAGTACTTCATGCTGTCAGTATTTTATTTAAAAGTCCTTATGAAAAGTCAAGATTTGTTTTAGATTGTTACAAAGAGTAAAGATTCATTTTACTATCTGTTGATATTCCATAACACTTCAATTGAAAGAAATGATATTTTGTTAACATTATTCTACTTTATATAGTAGTATTCATCTTAGAAGTTAACTTTATTCTAATATACCTGGAATAAAACTTCCTGAAACAGAGTAATTAAATTCTCTATATATTAGTTTGCTGAGGATACCATAACAAAATATTTCATATTAGGAGAGGCTTAAACAACAGAAATTTATGTTTTCACAGTTCTGACTACTCAAAGTCCAAAATTAAGGTGGCAGGTTTGGTTTCTTCTGAAACCTGTCTCTCCTGAGCCACCTTCTTGCTGTGTCCTGACGTGGTCTTCCCTATACGTGCCCCTGATGTCTCGGTGTGTTCACATTTCCTTTTCTTACAGGGGCACCAGTCGGGGTGGATTAGGACCCACCCTAATGGGCTCGTTTTAACTTAATCACCTCTTTAAAGTTTCTGCCCCCATATACAGTCCCATTCAGGATGGTGACAAAATTCAGTCTGTAACCCTGCAAAAGAACCTGCTTTAATCCTTTATTTCATTATCATTACATACCAGATAACTTTATACCATTACTTTTCTTTATTTGTAATACATGTTCATTATAAAGGTAGCATATATACATTAAAGAGAATGTGTAAAATTAAAAAAAGAAACTCACATCATCCCCATTCCCCAAGTGCAGCCCCTGTGTGCATGTTGGTATTGCCCTGTATCCTTCACTGCCTGTGCCTAGATGCCCAGCCTTCCAGGAGATGAGACTTTTAGGTTTATTTTTTTTTTCTTTTATTACACTAGGATGAAGATCTGACCATAAATCTTTGTACACAATTTGTTTTTTTCCCGTGAGATAAATTCCTTTAAGTAGATATAACACTTTTTCAATGGTAAAATGCATTTTAAATTCCCCTTAGAGGATGCTGAGGATACATCCGTTCCTATCTTAGTCTTAAGAGAGACCCTTTCCCTCCTCACTCCTCTGTCTGAAGCCAAGTTACTCTCTGGAGGAGAGCGAAGGGTCTGGAGAGGATGTTCCCTTTGGGAACAGGAGCAATTTTAATTCGTGAGGGAACAGTCCTGGCCTCTGCTGTGAAAATATTGAAAGAGGCATCATAGGCCTTTCTCTGTCTTTGGTTATCCTTTAGTCTGGTATTTTTTAGTAGCAACTAATTTACTAGATTTTTAAATATGAGATGTTTATTCAAAATACTCATTAAATATTTCCTCTCTTCTGAAATTAATTACTCTTAATCTTAATCTTAAGAGAGAACCTGAAAATACAGAAAATTTATTTTGATTCTTCTGAAAGTAATAGAAGGTAAAAAAATAATGCATATAATTATATTTTAGATGTTTTGTGATTATATTTTCAATCCTCAAAAATATTTCTCAATTTTCTTTATAGATAATATATTTGCAATAAAATCATGGGCCAAAAGAAAATTTGGGTTGGAAGAAAATAAAATTGATAAAAATTTTGGAATTCCAGAAGACTTTGACTACATAGACTAAGATGTTTGAAGTTGGTGAAAGATCTATATGCATATGTAATTTCTTATGAATGTGTAAATTTTTTATATTGTCCAACTAATTGTATTGAACTGTCATTACTTGTAACCATGCTTATCATTTTGTTAATTTTAAATAAAGTATAAAGTATAGATTTTTTTTACTCTTTATGATCAGTTGGAAACAATATAACCATATTACCACAGTGCTCATCAAAGTAGATAGTTCAGTTATAAAACTATCCACCTAACTTAGGTTTACAAATAATATTCTAGAGCTATAAACCAACATAACATGGTAACATTTAAATATTAAAAATATTAAGAACTACCAGCAGAACAACAAGGCATCCTACAGTATGAGAGAATATATTCATAAATCATTTATCCTATAAGGGGTTAACATCCAAAATATATAAAGAACTCACATACCTCAATACCCAAAAAACAAATAACCTGATTGAAAAATGGGTGGAGGATCTGAACAGACACTTCTCCAAAGAAATTTGGATGGCCAGCAGGCACATGAAAAGATGCTCCTTGTTGCTAATCATCAGGGTAATGCAAATTAAAACCACAATGAGATACCACCTCACACCAGTTAGGATGGCCAACATCCAAAAGACAAACAACAAATGCTGGTGAGGATATGGAGAAAGGGGAACCCTCCTACACCGTTGGTGGGAATGTAAATTCGTCTAACCACTATGGAAACCTGGAGGTTCCTCAAGAAAGTAAAAATAGAGGTACCATTTGGCCTAGTAATTCTACTCCTAGGAATTTACCCAAAGAAAAGATCCCTGATTTGAAAAGACACATGCACCCCTATGTTTATCACCACACTATTTACAATAGGCAAAATGTGGAAGCAACCTCAGTGTCCATCAATAGATGAATGGATAAAGAAGATGTGGTACATATACACAATGGAATACTACTCAGCCATAAAAAAGAAAAATCCTGCCATTTGCAACATCATGGATGGAGCTAGAGGGTATTATGCTTAGTGAAATAAGCCAGGAGGAGAAAGACAAGTACCAAATGACTTCACTCATTTGTGGAGTATAACAATGAAGCAAAACTGAAGGAACAAAAGAAACTCAGACTCTGAGAAGACACTAGTGGTTACCAAAGGAGAGGGGTTGGGGAAGCAGGGGAGGGAGAAGGGGATTAAGGGGCACTATAATTCACAATCACAATATAGGTAGGTCATGGGGAGGCAGTACAGCACAGAGAAGACAAGTTAATGACTCCATAGCATCTTACTACACTGATAGTGACTGCAGTGGGGGATGGTGGGGTAAGGACTTGGTACTATGGGTGAATGTTGAAACCACAATTTTCATTTGAAACCTTCATAAGATTGTGTATCAATGATACTTTAACAAAAAATTAAGAACTAAAGGTACCATTTGTTACACATATATATATATATATATATATATATACACCCTTATATAAATGCTTGGACATAACGTTTAAGACCCTATTGACTGGTTTAGTGTTTCTCAGTGTTTAGTGGAAAATATATGGGTTGATTCTTAGTATCCTATATTGTATTTGTACATTTCCCACAGGAAAAATGCAGAAAGTTAGTGTTCTCCAAACTTATTAGGTTGTAATTCTTTAGGCATGAAAGCTTTCTTTTGAGTTTCTGGTGTTTTTCTATTGTAAAGAATAAGCACATGGCCCTTTGTCCTAATTTACACACTTTTTATAAGATAATGTAATGGAATTAGTATAGCACACATAACCAACTACAGTTCAGAGATTTTTTTTCAACTACCTAAAAAAGAGTAGGTTAAAAATAACATGTTCTGTGCATACATCTTTTTCCAGTTCTGCTTAGGCATTTAGAGTATTTGCAGGCACTCCAAGACAAACTTAAAAAAAATAAAAAATAAAGTGTGTAATGAATGGCCTTTACAAAAATGCCCTTAATTTTTTTCACCCTGTCCTAACTTGAATGAAATACTCCATATGTCTAAAATGACCCAAATGGCATCCACACCATTTGTAGTGAATCTGGTCTTTGTATTGGATGGAGTTGTTCTGGGCCTACTTAATTCACTTCCTGGAGGTGGGTGGGAACAAATTGTTCCATTTTTGTTCTTGAGGCCTGTTTAGGTTGCCTTAGGGCAATAGCTCTTCTTACAAGAGAAAGTGTTTGATGTGAGAGACAAAGGACAAAAAATTAAAATAGCCTATCTTAAGCTTTTCCATAAAACACTAATTGGAATAACAAAATTTCTCAGACCCTGTTTGCTATTAGAAAAGATGCTTCCTTATTTAGAGAGAAGATATGTATATTCAGAAGAAGCCATTTCTAATAATCCCTAAAAGATTCTATTTTATAAATATTTAGGTAACTTTTTATTGAGGTATAATTGACAGATGTATTAGTTTCAGGTGTACAGTATAATGATTTGACATTTGTATACATTGCAAAATGATCACAAGTCTAGCTACCATCTGTCACCATACAGAGTAACAAAACATTTTTTTCTTGTGATGAGAACTTAAAAGATTTACTTTGTTAGCAACTCTCAAATTTGCAATACTATGTTATTGACTAGTCACCATACTGTATATTACATCCCGATGACTTACTTATTTTATAACTGGAAGTTTGTTCCTCTTGATCTCTTTCACTCATTTCCCCCACCCGCTAACCCTTTCCCTTGTGTCAACTGCCAGTCTATTCTCTGTGTTTATGAGTTTTGTTTATTCGTTTGTTTTCTAGATTCCACATATAATTGAAATAATATATTTGTCTTTGTCTTACTGACTTAGCATAATACTCTCATGGTCCATGTTGTCACAAATGACAAGATTAGATTCCTTTTTATGACCCAGTAGTATTCCGTTGTATATATATTCCACATCTTCTTTGTCCATTCATCTGTCACTGGACATTTAGGTTGTTTCCATGTCTTCACTATTGTAAATAATGTTGCAGTGGACATAAGGATGCATATTCCTCTTGAATTAGTGTTCTCATTTTGTTTGGATAAATACCCAGAAGTGGAATTGCTTGAGAATATGGTATTTCTATTTTTAATTTTTCAAGGAGCCTCTGTATTGTTTCCACATGCCTATACAAGTATATACTCCCACCGGTGCACAAGGGTTCCCTTTTTTACCACATCCTGGCCACACTTCTTTTCCTTTTGGTGCTAGCAATTCTGACTGGTATGAGGTGATACCTTATTATGGTTTTGGTTTGCATTTCCATGATGATTAATGATGTTGTGCATCTTTTCATGTGCTTGGTCTATGTGCCTTCTTTGGTAACATGTCTATTCAAATCATCTGCCCATTTTTTAATTGGATTGTTGTTGTTGTTGACCTTTATGAGTTCTTTATATATTCTGTACATTAGCATCTAACCAGATATATGATTGGCAGATATCTCCTCCCATAGGTTGCCTTTTAATTTTTTTAATTTCCTTTTACTGTGCAGCAGCTTTTTTGGTTTGATATTGATCCCATTTGTTTATTTTTGCTTTTTTTGCTATTGCCTCTGGATTATGATTAAATAAAAATATCAGCAAGAGACAAGTCAAGGAGCTTACTGCCTATGTTTTCTTCTAGGAGTTTTATGATTTCTGGTCTTACATTCAAGTCTTTAATCCATTTTGAGTTAGTTTTTGTATGGTGTAAGTTAGTGATCCAGTTTCACTGTTTTTGCATGTGATTGTCCAGTTTTCCCAGCCATTTGTTGAAGACACTGTCTTTCCTCCATTATATATTCTTGCCTCCTTTATTGTAGATTAATTGACCATGTAAGCATGGGTTTATTTCTGGGCACTCTATTCTGTTACATTGATCTATGTGTCTATTTTTATGCCATCAGTATAGTGTTTTGATTACTTTAGCTTTGTAGTATAGTTTGAAATCAGGGAGCACGATACCTCCATCTTTGTTGTTCTTTTTCAAGATTGCTTGGGCTTCCCAGGATCTTTTTGGCTCCACACAAATTTTAGGTTTGTACTATTTCTCTGAGAAATTCCTGTTTTGATAGGAATTGCATGGCATCTGTAGATTGCTTTGGATAATATGAACATTTGACCATATTCTACTCCATGAGTATGGAATGTATTTCCATTAATTTGTATCTTCCTCATTTTCTTTCATCAATGTCGTTAGTTTTTAGTGTACAGATATTTCACCTCCTTGTTAAAATGCCTTCTGAGGTATTTTATTCTTTTTGATGTAATTGTAAATGGAATTGTTTTCTTAATTTCTTTCTGATACTTCATTGTTAGTGTATAAAAATGAAAAAGATTTTTGTATGTTGACTTTGTACCATGAAACTTTACTAAATTTGTTTTAGTTCTAATAGGTTTTTGGTGGAAACTTCAGGGTTTTCCATATTTAAAATTAAATAGTGATCATTTTACTTCTACCTTTCCAGTTTGGATGCCTTTTATTTCTTTTTCCTGCCTAATTGCTCTGGCTAGGGCTTCCAATGCTATGTTGAATAAAAGTGTTAAAAGTGGGCATCCTTGTGTTCCTGATCTTAAGGGAAAAGCTCTCAGCTTTTCATCATTGAGTATGATGTTAGCTAGGGGTTTGTCTTATATAGCCTTTATTATGTTGGGGTGCATCCATCTATACTCATTTTGCTGAGAGTTTGTCATGAATGGATGTTGAATTTTGTCAGTTGCTTTTTTGGCATCTATTAAGATGATCATGATTTTTATCCTTCATTTTGTTGATGTGGTGTATCACTTTGCTTGATTTGTGGATGTTGAACTATCCTTGCATCCCTGGAATAAATCCCACTTGATCTTGATCCTTTTAATGTATTGTTGAGTTTGGTTTGCTAATATTTTGTTGAGGACTTTTGTGTCTATGTCTGTCAGGGATATTAATCTGTAACTTTGTTTATTTTGTGGTTTCCTTCTCTGGTTTTGGTTATCAGGGTAATCCTGGCCTCATAGGATGAATTTAGAAGCATTCCTTCTTCAAATTTTTTGAAGAATTTGAGAAGGATAGGTATTAAATCTTCTTTTAATGTTTGGTAAAATTCACTGGTGAAACCCTGGACTGTTTGTTGGGGTTTTTTTTTTTTTTTTTGGATACTGATTTAATCTCCTCCCTAGTAATAGATCTATTCAGTTTTTTTATTTCTTAATGATTTAGTCTTGGA